CGTAAGATTTGTTAAATAAAAGGGAACTCTTTAGCTACAATGTATCAATGTTATGTTATAAAACAAATGGTAAACACCACAGCGTACACTATTGAGTTATGGATGCACTTGGGAGGTTTGCTAAGCACTCAAGAAGCTAGAGTCGCTCTCGGCTATCGCCTCGAGCGACTCTTACGCTTCTTTCGTGCTTAGCAACCTCCCGCGTGCATCCATAACTCAATAGTGTACGCTGTGGTGTTTACCATTTGTTAAATAGATATGATTGTAAGTTTCTCTGTAGCTAATCTTCCACTCGTCTTTAAACTGGTGGGAAGCTCTGATTTTGTTATACATTGTCAAACTGAGTGTATAGAAACTGATAGCTTTCCAAGGAACCTTTTGACTTTCAAAGATCTGAGCGAGAACATTTAACGACGAAGCCTCTCCAGCTTTGTCTCCCACTTCGTTAGCAATTTCCAGATAGCGCTCGTGGTACTCAATGGCCTCCCCAAATTGCCAAGCATATGATAGTCATTGCCAAGATTTCCATAGGTCTGTCCCTCTCCGGCTTTGTCTTCCACTTCTTTAGCAATTTTTAAATGACGCTCATGGTGCTCAATGGCCCTCTCAAAATCACCAAGGCCACGATAGCCACTGCCAAGATTTGCATACGCTTGTCCCTCTCCAGCTTTGTCTCCAATTTCTACGGCAATTTTCAGATGACCATCACGGTGCTCAATGGCCTCCTTAATTTTTCCAAGGCCATCATAGCCGTTGCCGAGATGTTTACAGGCTCGTCCCTCTCCAGCTTTGTCACTTCCACTTCTTTAGCAATTTTTAGATGACGCTTATGGTATTCAATGGCCTCCCTAAAATCTCCAAGCCTTTGATAGCAATTGCCAAGATTCCCATAAGCCGATCCCTCTTCAGCTTTGTCTCCTACTTCTTTAGAAATTTTTAGATGACACTCATGGTACTCAATCGCCTTTTTAAAATCGCTAAGTCATACATAGCCAGTACCAAGGTTTTTATAGGCTCGTCCCTCTTCAGCCTTTTCTCCCACTTCTTTAGCAATTTTTAGATGACGCTCATGGTGCTCAATGGCCTTCTTAAAATCGCCAAACCTTTGAAAGCAATTTCCAAAATTTCCATGGGCTCGTCCCTCTCCAGCCTTGTCTCCCACTTCTTCAGCAATTTTTAGATGACGCTCATAGCACTCAAGGGCCTTCTTAAATTCACTAAGGCCATAATAGCCATTGCCAATATCTTTATGGGCCCTTCCCTCTCCAGCTTTATCTCCCGCTTCTTTAGCAATTTTTAGATGACGCGCATGGTGCTCAATGCCCTTCTTAAAATCGCCAAGCCTTTGATAGCAATTACCAAAATTTCCATAGGCCTGTCCCTCTCCGGCCTTGTCTCCCACTTCTTTAGCAATTTTTAGATGACGCTCATAGCACTCAAAGGCCTTCTTAAATTCGCTAAGGCCATAATGGCCATAGCCAGTATTTTTATGGGCCCTTCCCTCTCCAGCTTTATCTCCCGCTTCTTTAGCAATATTTAGATGTCGCTCATGGTGTTCAATGGCCTTCCTAAAATCGTCAAGCCTTTGATAGCCATTGCCAAAATTTCCATAGGCCTGTCCCTCTCCAGCCTTGTCTCCCACTTCTTTAGCAATTTTTAGATGATGCTCATGGTGTTCAATGGCCTTCTTAAAATCGGCAAGGTTATGATAGTCATTTCCAAGATTTCCATAGGCCTGTCCCTCTCGAGCCTTGTCTCCCTCTTCTTTCGCAATTTTCAGAAGACGCTCATGGTACTCAATGGCCTTAAGATCGCGAAGCCTTTGATAGCCATTACCAAGATTTTCATAGGCCTGTCCCTCTCCAGCCTTGTCTCCCACTTCTTTAGCAATTTTTAGATGACGCTCATGGTGTTCAATGGCCCTCATAAAATTGCCAAGGCCATGATAGCCATTTCCAAGATTTCCATAGGCTCGTCCCTCTACAGCCTTGTATCCCACTTCCTTAGCAATTTTTAGAAGACGCTCATGATGCTCAACGGCCTCCCTAAAACTGCCAAGGCCATGATAACCATTGCCAACTCCTGCAGAGGCCTGTCCCTCTGCAGTTTTGTCTTTTGCCTCTTTTGCAATTTTTAGATAATGCTCGTGGCGTTGAATGGCCTTTTTAAAATTTGCAAGGCAATAATAGCTATTGCCAAGATTTCCATAGGCCCGTCCCTCTCCAGCTTTGTCTTCCATTTCTTTTGGCAAGTTTTAGATCACGCTCGAGGTGTGCAATTGTTTATAAAGTAGTATGGTGCTTTTCAAATTTCATAGGGTAAGGGATAGTAATGCAGAATATTTGGCAAAGAATTCGAAGTTTTCGCTGGCTACAGTTTTCATTTTAATTTCCTTTTTTAAAATAAAATACATTTAACTATCATGGACCACAGTTTGCAAGTGCTGTTTCTTATCAAATTAAACTCTATTAAGAGCGGCTTCCTATGTACTGTCGAGAAAACCGAAACCGAAGTGATTAATACTACTAATGAGAGATCATCGTTAGAAAGTAAGAACTTATAGTCAAAACAGGCAAACTAGTCTATGCAGGTGATCAAAAGCAGGATTGATATTCGTTTTGCGTCTCATCGGTTAAGAGGATGGCGAAAATTTTCTGGGCCAATCACAGCGCAAGGTAATGCAATAACAAAGTACTTTCGATATTCAATTAGAAATTGTTCTGATGGAAATTCAGCTTTTCAGGCAATATAAGCGTTTACTAGGATTTAGCTTTACAAATTTCTTTCGCCGGTAAAAGTGCCACGAATGAGATAAACTGATACGAATGAACGGCGATTTCCGCAAGATAAGCGCGCTTACTCATACTCTGAGCTTTCTATCGCTTATTTTGGGACCTAACAGCGTTTGTATTTTGAGTTTTCCTTTGAAATTTTTAGAAGACGCTCATGATGCTCAACGGCCTCCCTAAAACTGCCAAGGCCATGATAACCATTGCCAAGTCCTGCAGAGGCCTGTCCCTCTGCAGTTTTGTCTTTTGCCTCTTTTGCAATTTTTAGATAATGCTCGTGGCGTTGAATGGCCTTTTTAAAATTTGCAAGGCAATAATAGCTATTGCCAAGATTTCCATAGGCCCGTCCCTCTCCAGCTTTGTCTTCCATTTCTTTTGGCAAGTTTTAGATCACGCTCGAGGTGTGCAATTGTTTATAAAGTAGTATGGTGCTTTTCAAATTTCATAGGGTAAGGGATAGTAATGCAGAATATTTGGCAAAGAATTCGAAGTTTTCGCTGGCTACAGTTTTCATTTTAATTTCCTTTTTTAAAATAAAATACATTTAACTATCATGGACCACAGTTTGCAAGTGCTGTTTCTTATCAAATTAAACTCTATTAAGAGCGGCTTCCTATGTACTGTCGAGAAAACCGAAACCGAAGTGATTAATACTACTAATTAGAGATCATCGTTAGAAAGTAAGAACTTATAGTCAAAACAGGCAAACTACTTTATGCAGGTGATCAAAAGCAGGATTGATATTCGTTTTGCGTCTCATCGGTTAAGAGGATGGCGAAAATTTTCTGGGCCAATCACAGCGCAAGGTAATGCAATAACAAAGTACTTTCGATATTCAATTAGAAATTGTTCTGATGGAAATTCAGCTTTTCAGGCAATATAAGCGTTTACTAGGATTTAGCTTTACAAATTTCTTTCGCCGGTAAAAGTGCCACGAATGAGATAAACTGATACGAATGAACGGCGATTTCCGCAAGATAAGCGCGCTTACTCATACTCTGAGCTTTCTATCGCTTATTTTGGGACCTAACAGCGTTTGTATTTTGAGTTTTCCTTTGAAATTTTGCGCGGGAAACTGATGCGCGGCCGGCTTGAATTGATTCCTTGGTATATGCTCAACTTTAAACCGCTGTGCTGCTAGTCTCTCAAACTCCCCCAAATCCCCATTGTGTAGACGAGGCTCTATAAGCGTGGAAAAGACCTCTATGGTTTTTATGAAATATTTTCCAGAAAGTGAAATTCACAAACAAGAGCGCACTTATTAATTACCTTAAGTAATCATAGAAAAATGTTCCTTTGTGTGTGTTTGAATCCATGATACTGAATTAACCACTACCCCGATGGAGCCTTCTAGGGCTAATACAAACCAATTGAAAAAGTAAATAAGTGTAGTGATTTGAAAACTCGAACTGGCTAGAGGCAGATCAGTGGACTTTATACAAAGTGCAGCTACGGAGTTGAACTCAGAACTACAGTGAACAAATCTGGTGAGTGGCTGGAGCAAGGTGGAGAGTTTGAACCCGAAATCACCAGATTACAAGACCAGCGTCCTAACTACTCGGAAAAAAATTCCCCAGTTTTTAAACTTCTTCTGGAAGTAGGAGAGAGTGCATTCAACGTGTGTCGGTATTAACCAGGAATCTTCGTTTCATATCCTGAAATTGTTTGGTAAATTCTGGTCAAGTACTTTCGAAAGGTCCCAAACGAACGCCCTTCATCAAACCCAACCCAACACTGAATTCAGGACTCCTCGTGGCACGGGAGGGGACTTTAAAGCAGATTTGAAAAAATTTCTTGCCCCGACTTTTGCTGCAAACAAACTGAAATAGGTTTTATTGATAATAGGGGACGCCTCGCATAAAATCCGTTAATTGAGATTAGTCTGCCTATAGACTAACTATTGCACAAAAGATGAGTACAGACTGCGAAAGTTTTGTAAAACAAGATCAATGAGGTATAAAAAGTATTTTAATTGCGTGAAAGGCTGCACTAGTCAAAAGCCAACATTTCTACATCTGAAGAATAAATAAGGCAAGATATTGCCTGAAACCCACTTACCATTGCCTTAGAACATGTGCCTCATCGACTGCAATGGCACAAAGCTTACGGGAATATACATCGTTGTGCAACATCGCCCTCCAGCGGTCGTTTTTGAGCCATGCTTCCGGCGATCCATAG